ATTTAAGAATAAGGAAATACTTTGGTGTTTTGCTTCTTAATAGTTTTAAACTGAAGCATTTATTAAACTTGGCAATTCTTGAAAAGATCATTTGCTATATTTGTCTAATAGTAGCCAACTCCAATGTTATCAGTTCCCGCTGCGTTTTCCCGTTTCCCATCTCTTTTGCTCGTTATTGCTGATCAGGCACCGGAAGCACGTTATAACGCGTAGTTTAGAAGCCATGGTACGTAAATGTTCTTCATTATCTTCACAAGATAACCGTTGAGGTTCTGTAGTACTTCATTTTTCTGCTTTCTGCTTTTTTCACATGTTATTACTCTTACGTTCTGTTTAAACCTTTCCACTTCAGGAGGGCTAGCCTTGAATAACAAAGAAAAGGCACGGGTGTATGCGGAATTGGGTTTCGATTGGTCATTGTTCCTCAGCACCTTTGTGCACAATGAATTGGTAACGATGACCATCAAAATGTTTGGTAACGATGAGCAGAAGCAGAAGTATCTTCCAAAGCTTGCATCCGGGGAAATGACTGGTGCATTCTGCTTGCACGAGTCTTCTTGCGGTCAAGACATTGCCGGTATTCAGTCGAGGGCAACGCCGATCCAGCATGACGGTAAAGAGTACCTGATGTTTAACGGCCTCAAATCATGGGTGACCAACGGCGCCCTGGCCGACGTGCTCATTGTCTTTTCGAAGATGAGAAGTATAGCGGATGATGCGGTAGGTGAACAGTACTAAAGTAAATCTGTTGTTTATTACAATCTATTCCAGCTGAATCATCTGTCGAGAGTATCTTAACAAATGATTTCTCATACTCTGTGTGCTTGTCAACGAAAGTCTTATTCTTCATATAGTTATTCTACACATTTTTGCTGTAAATATATGCATCGTTTCTGTTTAATAACCAATGCTATGTTACTTTGCCATTTTGATGTTACCGACTATCTTAGTTACAGTAAAGAATAGTATATATCGCTCTGAAACACGACGGCATACTTTTGTCTTATGCTATTTTGCGTCCTGTCCGAAAGTTTTATTTTTCTCGATAGGATATAATGAAATCAACAATTGCCCCTATAACTCCTTTCTCTTCATTTTGGCCGTTCTTTCAATATGTGTAGCTGTGTATTAAATACTGAATAGCTACAGCGTTAAAATTAACTCGTTTCAGATCCAGGTACAAAATTAGAATATGTCATTGATTACATTGAAGTGCATTGTTCGCTCGAACGCTCGAAAGTGTGACGCAGTTCTGCTGTCTCTGAAACAGGCAGATCTCAACAGAACATCTGAAACCATATCAGATATTAAACACTCGGTGGTTCCAGGTCACATTTCTGGTGTCTCATCTATATTAAGAGGACCAAGACCATTTATAGCATTGTTGTCTTCTTCGGTTAATGACCCTGATATATCACAACTAGGTAGGATCGACCGTATCCTATTCGGGATAGAGATATTACTTGTAGATGGCAAGGTTAAGTAAAGTAGATTGACCTTATTAAAGAAACTGGTTCTCTTTAACTTCTTCCGAGTACCCGCTAGATTTTGCCCTGGGAATCGAAATACGGCAAATATCAGACTGAAAACCACCACAGAACAGTGGGGAAAGTGGAGGAGGCAGAGCTGCTTTCAGAGTGGAATTATTTTGTCTATCATGCCGTAAAGAGTACTCGCACTATGCAATTTAGAATCAGCATGGATTACTGCTATGCGAATCCTCACCTTATGCAATAGAATCCGAGACGACCTTGCTGAATATATTGAATGTATTTGCTTCTCTGTTGCCCTGAAGATATCTGTGCGTGTAATAATATTTTTCAAAATCCAGAAGTTGCTGACGTTAAAATGGCCACCCATATGAAGGTTAGAAATGCAGCATTGAAGGAACTGATTATCTGAATTAAAACCATTGTGGTGAGTAACGTAGATATTTAAAACAATGGGTGAAAGTATTTTGTTACAGGTGCACGAGAAACGCAGAAATAGTGATTACAGTAAAATCGGCAGTGCCAGTTATACAGCGACAAAAGAATTAAAATAGTGTGAATGATATATTTCGTATGAATAATTCATTGACGTTAATAGATTCAAAAGAAATTCGTTATTATCTGAGTTCCATCGCAAGTGTCAACGCTCTCTCTTTAAAAATTCGAGTTCATGTTTACACTTTGAAGTTGTTCATAATTATGGATTACCGGTTGTATTCTAAGATTTCGAGTTAATTATATTTCTGTATTTTTTTAGAACGATGGCAATTCCCGTTTGTCGGCATTTATAATAGATAGAAGAGAAACATCGGGGGTTTCAGTGGTCCAACGGCAGAATACAATCGGATTACGAGCTTTAGAAGGTAGCTGCTACTCTCTATCGTCTTTATCATGTTATGATATATTTCCATTTCTGTTTTGTCATCATGAGTTTTTTCTCGGCGCACTGATTTAAGATGGCCGCTTCAACACTTTGCTATGAACTTTGGTTATCTGCCATTTTGATACATCTTGATGGTTCAGTTCATCGTGACATGGATTTGGAAATCTTTCTGCTTGCCCTGTACTTTATTCTCGAATCCATTCTAGTGTCTCTTTGTCCAGCGATGGTCCGCTTGACCTACGCTGACCATTTCTGCTTTAACTTCTTCGCACATTTAATAATTTCTCAGACTCTTTCAGCGTTCGTACCTATTCATTCGCATTTCTATGTTTTCTTCTTATTCCCAACACAGAAGATTCCATGCTGCGTTGTGCTCAGCTGCTATGAATCGTTTTGAGCATTAGTGTCCACCAGAACGATAGCACTGTAATCACACATCGAATGAATCCTTGCCGTTTCAAATGCAAGCACTGTTTTCCGAGTTGGAACATTTACAGTCTTCCAAGAGGGCGTAGCGAATTTCGTTCTTCTCTTGACTTTAAGTTGTCGATTCTCCGTTGCAGAGATTTGCTACCCTAAATTGATGTACTTTGGTGCTTCTTCCGACGTAAGTCGCTTTCCCTGAACAGGATGCGTGATCACCTATTTCTTAAGCTCGACTTGAAACATCTTCAGGCTCACTTTCGATTCTATTAGATGCTTCTGTCGTTCTTCGCTTAAATTGTTCTTTGAGGTTGTTCTGGCTTCTTTGCGAGGGTCAAATGTCATTAGCACATCAAAAGAGGGTTGATTATTTCGGATTTATACTTAACTCGTGATTTTTCCAACCTAGTTTTCGAAAACCGGTTCTGGAGCCGCTGTAAGTTCAATGATTTTGAGTTTCCCTGTTGCCCGCCATGTTGGATTTTGAGCCTGCTCTTGCCTTCATGAAGGTTCAAGTGATTTTGACATTAACAGCTGCATTCTTTAAACATTGCGATCAGGTTTATGCCTACCTTCTTGATTGCCTATCTCGTCAAAAGATCTATTGCAAATCGGATGTACAGTGACCCGAAAGGCTTTTCGAAAACGACCATCCACGGACAGAGAGGATGCTCGTATTCGCTGCTTCCATGTATTACTTCTTATAATATCTTATGATGATCTATTGTACTAGTTCCACTTCTGAATACTGGTTGGTCCTTTAGGTGGGATGCGTCATGTTTTTCTTCAAGTCCGATTGTCGTTAGGTTTGCGAAGATCTTTTAAATGAATAGTTAGAAAGTGATCCGTCCTACTTCTTCTCTCTCACCTATTTTTCTGTTTTATATCGAAGTAGC